TTATAATTAGCGAAGCGATCATTCTTCACTTAAAAAATTATTTCGAATTATGTCAATCGGCAATCAGTCGAGTGCAAACGACTAACATGCCTAGAAATGAGTTACGATGCTTGATATCGAAGGAGGAACATTTTTTCAGTTAAAAATATATTGATAATATACGTAAGACAGATTTGTTTTGAAATATCTCGATAATAGTTTCCGAGGAGTCGACGACCGTCGTGGAGAAGAATAGACGGTGACCTCATACTTTGCTTAAGCCGTGGCGACCGGCAGCGAGACAATTAGATCTCGGTTTGGGTCATCAGCTTCATGAGTTAGTAAAGGAAGAAGCTATAAGCTCTTATAAAAGCTTACAACAAAACATTCACGCATTTTTATTTCAAATTGTCAGCTTTTGAGAAGATAAAAAACTATGTAAAGTAGAAAATTAAATGTATGTTCTAGTTTTAGAAGAAGAAATATTTAAGAATAATATTAATCATAATTTAAAAGGGCTTATGTCTTTATACAATAGATTTGTAACGCTTTTTTCTTGTAAACATATCAAATTTGACTCAGATTTAAATTGATCGCCCAGTCGTGGCATCGTCGAACGGCTACTATCGATAATCGTCTTTGTCTCCGACAAGAGAATACGTTTTATTTATAAACTCAGCAATTAGATTCGTCCTCGACAAGCATTAGTATCGTTTATCGACCGGTTGAGTCTGCTGTGTCTCTTAACGCAACTCGTTTAATCAACACTATTGTGGAAATTACGCGGTATAATATTTTAAACACAATATACTTTATAGAAGTATAATTTATCAAGATACTGCATAATTTTTCATATAAAAACATTATATTAATCATATTTCTACTTCCCTTTAATTTTATTTGGCTTATTAGATTTCATTATTATTCAACAATTCTTGGAAATAGTCACTTAATCACTTAAAAAATTACTTACAATGTTAAACTTTACAATAAGTATTAATTTTTTTCAGCTCGGAACAAAATTGTGGACCTTCGATGATCATTCATATATTCTAAGAACTCACGCTGATTCGTGTCACCGAAAAGTACTCGTTGAAACGAGCACAATGGCGACCATGGGGGTAACGGTGTTTTGCAATAGAGTACAGATAAGCGGCAATGATCAAGAACAATTGATGTTGCTGCGAACGTTACAAGATAACGAGAACAATATCATTGGTAATCAATCAACGTTGGCGGTCCCAAAAAACAATGCCAGCAGTAACGCGACGAACTCTACGACGGTGTTACCCCCGTACGATCCTACCAGACTGAAAAAACACGGCAAAAATGGACAACCACCTCCTGTGGCTGTTGCTCGAAGAAACGCGAGGGAAAGGAATCGCGTGAAACAAGTAAACAATGGATTTGCTACCTTGCGACAACACATTCCGAGCCACATTGCTGCGGGTTATGGCGACAGGGGTAAAAAGTTGTCGAAGGTAGAGACTCTTAGGATGGCCGTCGAGTACATCAGAGGCCTTCAGAGGCTCTTGGCAGAAGCTGACGGCGTTGAATATGACTCCAAGACCGTCGGTATACAGTGCGCTCCTTCTCCAACTAGCAGCGTCATCTCTTCGACTCATAACGGCTCTGGCGAGAGACTTGTTCTCGAGGACGATGTATTAGCCGCAGAAGATGACGAGAGGGAACAACTGGACGAAGAAGAGGATGAGAATGCTGCCAAATCAAAAATTACATTATCCAGGTAAATTCTGCATGTTGAATTAAAAGAATAGTTGGAAAGAGAGAGAGAGAGAGAGAGAGAGAGAGAGAGAGAGAGAGAGAGATTGAATAGAATTTAATTTACAACAAAACACGTGGTTCTATTTTACTTCGTAAAATTATTATAGATAAAATTATATTCCAGCAAATTACATAAATCGCTATGTAACATAGATGACGTAAAATATATACATTTATTTATCTATATGTATATTACATAGCCATTATATATCTGCATTTGCTGGAATTAATTGTAACTTAATAATACAATTAAGTGTAAAATTGAGTGTGAAAGTACAAAAAGTAGTGTCTTTACGTCTTTCTTTAATCATATTGATTTTATTCCTTTTTTCCCCATAGACTATCTCCCCACCGGACTGCTATTCCATCCCCACGTGACTACTACGCATCTTCAGCTGGAGACGAAGAAAACTTAGAACCACGAACTATAACCGGTGGACAAAATTTCTCTAGACTATCGCCAAATTCGGTGGCCTCGCCACCCTCGGAGTATTATGCTCAGAACGAGGAGAACTTAGAACCGCAGATTCTATCGCCCTACAGCGGTGCCGGAGACAGCGAAGAGGGCACGACGACTGTCTACGCGACTAGCCCAGAGACCTTCTCCGGAGCCCTCTACTACAAACAAGAGATCACTGAGACGGGGGAATTCATGGATGTAGTCAGCTGGTGGGAACAGGAACAGGGAAGACTCGTCCATCAACAGCACACGCAACGGCTAACGCACGTGTAACCATAGGTAAGTTCCCGACGAGTTTAACTCAAGTTGCGTGTTCAAGTTGGGAGAGAGAGAGAGAGAGTCTGGAGTTCAATGACAATTACAGAAAAAGTCGCTATTACATAATATATTATTTTATCGTAAGAATTATTTAACGAAAAATCCTTTATTTTTATATTATCGCAATATATCTTTTATCTTATATTCTTGTCAATCGCGCGAGTGAATGAAAAAGTAATTATTTAATAATAGAGATTGCTCAAGTTTCGACAGACAGTATACGTTTTTTGCACAAAAACGAACATGATAAAGAGGCGTTCGTTCGAGTGTCACGAGTTGCATGTTCGATGCATTCAGGATGCACACGTGATACCCGCGTCGCGGAAATGCCGCCAAGTGGAAACTCGTGTTCGACGCTTCGTTCTGAACACGTGCTACGTCGGTGTCGAGCCCGAAAATAAACTTTACGCATCGAACCACTTTGCGAAGTACGTGCCGACATGACACTTGGATGTCACGGTCTCTCCTACGTTTTTTTGTCTCATCGAGAACCCTCTCCTTTAAAAAAGCTTCATACCGACAAATG